TTGCCAGCCACTGCAACCGAAAGGTGTCGGCGGCGGCGGTTATAATTTGCCTTCTCCAGATTCTGTAGCAAGGTATTCTGTACCAATGAATGGTTTCTTTTCCTTTTCTTTTTCCTCCACACTATCATTAACTTCCTATTTCACCAAACATTTCTTTCTCTTTTTTACTTTGTTTGGCTTGTGTCCTGTCGTAATCAGAAAGAATTTTAGTCAATGGTAAAAAGGTAAATCTGAATTATTGGGAAGTTCTAATTGGCACTTACTCCACTAATAACTTTTTTTTATTAGAAATTATCAACTTGGTTCGGATAGATCTGCTCGCTGTAAGATAAGATTGGAAGATTTGTCGACACCATTTACATAAATTATCGCATCATTTATTTAAGCAATACTAAACCTTATGGTTGGTTTTTGACTATCAACAAGACAATATAATGTCCGTTACGTTCTTTTTTTTTTAAGGAAGTGTCAAATATTAAGGGTACTAGATTGTTTAAGCACATTTTAAGGTTAAACCTGGACAATGAAAGTTTTCTAGTTAAGGCTAGAAATATTGACAATTAGTTTGTTCTTGTATTATAGTGACACTAGCATCGCATCTGCAAGCTCCCTCTCAAAACCAATGTACTACCAAGACCAACTCCATCCTCTACCTAGAGAAATCAGAGCTCCTGCCAGCCCCAACACAAGGAACACCGACAACTCCGACCCCGGTCCCGGAACCCAAATTCAACAACAAGCTAAAGATTCCAACTACATCCTCCCTCAACATCTGGATCAACATTATCAGCATCAACAATATGTTCAGGCCGGCGCGCATTATGTCCACCACCATGCAGCCAGTCCGGTGACAATGCCACAGTACTACCAAGTTTACCCTCAAACACCTCAACAATTTCACCATCCAATTGATCAGCAATATCCAGTCTATATAATGCCGGTTGCCCCACAAACACCGCAGCCATATAACATGTCTTTGCAATCCAACATTGCTGACGCAACGACTGTAGTCACCTCAAGCCGACCGCTGACAACTCCAGCCCCTGCCTCTGGTATCCCACCTGTTTACCCTGCAAAGGCAGCTTCCCCTACTCCACCTGAAATGGCTGCATCGGGTGTTTACAAAACCACTATGGCGTCAAATGCTCCTTTGGTTCAGATCCCACAAAACCAATTTCAGCAAAATTACATGGGCTTCTCACAAATGCATCATCACCCTACTCAGTCTCTTGCTATTCCTTCCTCTGCTGCTGGGAATTACGCTTTTGAGTACTCGAATCCGGCCTCAGCCGTTGCCCATGAGCAAGTTTTCTACACGCAGCACCCGGCTGCGGTGGCTGCTCCATCACCATTGCCTTCTCAGTATCAATCGATGACTCCCGCAGCGGCGATAGCCTTGTCGGAGGCTGCAAAACAGCTGCCTGCAGATAATACCAACGCTCAACAGCAGAACAGAACGTCACAACCACTATAAGTGAACAGGAAGAGAATAAATAAGAATTTTTGTTTGGTAAAAGTTGGATATTGTATTTTGTTTTTTTTTCCGACTTCTTTCTCTGTATCTTTTAATAGCTGCTACAATTATAATCTTGTGTTACAAATGAATAATAAAAGGACATCATCGGTTTCTTTGAAGTGCCACTATGATTTTGCAATAAGAGATTAAATTAAGATTCATCTCAGTTAAATTTACTACCTGTGAATTGGAATGAGGAACTTCTTCTTCAACAAAGCTTTTATTATATATCATTTCTAACATGATTTTCACAGGTCAAGCATTGGAATTGATGTAAAAACATGTGGATCCAAAACTGAGTCACGTGGCCACAAGCACGGACGCCATCACTTACGGGGTACAGGCATTCAAAGTGCGGTTCAGTACAAATTTTTGAGCCATACGAGGAATATGTTTCTTGATTTGCCTCTCTCAGTGTAAGGTGGTGTATTTTTTGGCATTATATACCTTTTTTTTTTTTTTTTTGTCTTTTTACCGACATCATAAAGAATCTATCAACCTGCATGGTTGCTAAGATTCAAGGGGCGTAGTTAGATCCAGTTAGATAAATCATACGCAGAATTGTTTTTGAAGGGTGTTTAAATACTTAATAGTGCACCAAACCAGCTTTTTGAACCAACAGAAAAAAACCATGCGGTAAATTCAGGTGACCGTTGGTTCATGATTTTAATTTTTAAAAGTTAAATTTTTTGTAAGAGAAAAATATTATAGCAAACTAAAAATTATGATCTTAAATCAGGTCATAACCCTCGAAACAAACGGAGTATCAGTTTTCGAGGACAAATAAGACGATGGACATTCATTACTTTATGTTCTCTCTCGGC